TAAGCTCTGAAGGACTTCTTTTACTGACATTGCAGTAATGCCTTTCTCTTTAGGAGCAATCTTCTCCATATCCTTTAGTTGAAATACATCTTTCGTCTCAAAAAATATTTCCATCATGCGCGTCCTCTTTTCTTCTGCACTCAGTCCTTTTTTCTTTGACATGGCTCAGACAGCGAATCTTTCGGCAACTCGTTTGCGAGGAAGGAAAAGGGCGTGGCGGACCGAAGAGGGTTTGAATTTGGCGCCGGTACCGCCCAGGATGCGGAAAGTTGTTTTAGCTCTTCATGGATTCTACTAGCTGCTTTAATAAGTTACCTAAGCTTTTGGTTTGAAAGGACACAAACAAGGCGGGAGGGACAGAAAGAGCAAGAAGAGAAGTAAATCATAGATTCTAGTAACTCTACCAGATACGAGGATACAAAGCTGTTTCACAAACTCATAGTTTAGCAAGGACAATGTAAGTAGAAATGTTGCTACTTGTTGCTTTCAGGTAGGCCCTAATTCAGGACACTGTCTTTAAAATGTGCAGTTCTGTGTCATCTTCTTGATTATTTGTTTGTTTGGGTCAATAAATACAAAAGACTATATAAAAGACACCATTGTTGGTAAAGTGGACAGGAAACCTAAGTAGTGACATAAATGTGTCCCTGTGATTGTAAAAGTTTCAAAAGAGGAATAGCATTTTAGTACCCTTTATAAAGAGTATTATAGATTTTAAGAAGTTCCCCCAAAATATGTGTTGGGATCCTAACGCCTTTAGTTATAGATTTATATAGGATGATAGGGTGGGGCTTAAAATAAGATCTTCACTGTTATATTAATGACACACTATCTGTTTAGAGTGTGTCCCCAATCTTCAGAGTTACAAGGAATATAATATACACAGAGACAAGGAATTGCAAATAAAGGAAAAATAGATAACCAAGGAACGACAGAAAGCTTTGGAAAGAGGGGTCTTCTCTCAGAGCTAACATGGAAAAAGCCTGTTACAAGAGCTGACACCTTGAAATTGAACTTCAGGCTTTATCAAAGATGAGATCAAACTAACAAATACAAAAGGGGAAATACAAGATGGTTATAAGTGCCATGAAAAACAATACAAAAGGGTGATAGCGTGGAAAATGACAGGACACTTTTGTTTATAAAAAAGAAAGATGTATTTAACACAGGTGCATTTAGGGAGAAGTTCTTTTTGTTAGATGTTGCTGTGTCAACTACAACTTAGAGTGCCCTGTGAACAACACATCTGCCATATCATGCACTATCCTCACCGTCCCTGATGTACTCAAACCCACTGCTATACTCGCTGTCAATCCATTTTGTTGAGGGTCTTCCTTTCTTTTGCTAGCCCGCCAGCTTTCCAAGACAATGTCTATTTCCAAGGATAGGTTGGTTCTTACAACATGGCAAAAGTATGCAAGACAAAGTTCCATTCTCCTTGATTCTAAGGAGCACTCTGGCTGCCCAAGATATAGATTTTATTTTGTTCTTTTCTCATTCTGTGAGCTATTTTTTACTCTTCTCTAACACCATAAGTCAAAGATACTGATTCTTCTTCTATCATCCTTACTGATTGTACACTTTTCAGGTGCATTGCAAGTAAATGAAATGGCAATATAGATTGCATTAGGATCACTTTACTATTTAAACTGATATTGTTGTTCATCATAACTTTGGAGAGGTCTTTGACAGCAGATTTCCCCAATGCAACAAGTCTTTTGTTTTCTTGATAGTTGGTACCCACGGTGCTAATTCAAGTAAAATGAAATTACTAACAACTTCAATCTTCTCTCCATCTATCATGATGTAGCCTATTGACCCAATTATAAGGATTTTTGTTTTCTTCATGGCCTAGTGATAATAGTTGTGCTGCAATCCCAAAGGCATATGGTTTGAATCCACCAGCTGCTCCACAGGAGAAGGATAAGCTGTTTCCTCCTATGTAATTAACTGCCTCTGAAAACCCTCTAGTGGTCAGCAATAGGTCAGTTCTGATTCTATAGTACAACAATGGTGAGATGTAGTTCTTATATGAAGGTTGTAGTCTTTGATTTTCTGCAGCAAGCTCAAGTCCTCCTCACTGTTAGCAACAAGATCATGTTATCTGCATAAACAGAAGTTAGCATCCCATAAAGCATGCTGAGCTTAGAGTCTATGATCATTCCATACTTTATATGAATTTTAATCTACTCCAGGCTTCGAATTTACTCTGTCGTAGCTATCTTTTCTTTAAGAAGAAGAAATGTATCAAGTATGAATATCAGCATATATGTATGCATGAAATACCATGTTGCTGCCACTGTTGTTTAGTTATGCATTGTTGAGTCCATTGTGACTCACAGCAACCTTATGGATGGTTCCCAACTTTATTCTATCTTGAGCCAACTTCACTGTCTCTGACACATGTGACTCCATTGTCGTAGTCACTGTATCTACCCACCTCATCCAAGGTCTTCCCTGTTTTTAGGATCCATGTGAGATGAGCCAAGGTCTTTGATGTTGTTTGGTGCCATTGAATATGACTCATGTTGTTTGTTGCTACTATGTTGAATACTATTGAGTCACCTAAGATTTATAATAACCCTATATACAATAGTTTAAACCCTGCCCTATCCTGAGCCAGTCTCACTATCTCTCACACACTTATCCCCATTATCCCAGTCACTGTGAAAAATCCATCTCATCTGGAGTCTTTCTCTTCTGTGCTGTCCCTCCACCTTACCAAGCATGATATCCTCCTCCAAGGACTGGTCTATCCTTGTAACATGTCCAAAGTGTGTGAGATGGAGTTACAAAATC